AGTTTATCTAGTTGCAAGCCATAATCAGAATTATAGGCATTCTTCATCCACTTGGTTAGTCTTGTGTAGATGGTCAAACCAAACTCCTTAAGTGGTCACAGATCTCATTCAGGAGGCTCTGCAATGTTCTAGGGGTTGATGCTATCAACACAATGTCATATTTAAAAAGAAGCACTTGGGGGACCTTACCTTCAATAAAGAATACCTGTTCAGCCTCCATCACAGTGGCAAACACTTTTTTACTGAGTGCATATCTCTTTGTTTTGTGCCTTGCCTGATACCGATGTCCCGAGGACAAGTTTGTCCTGCTATTATATCTTTCTAGGGATCTTAAATCATTTTGATGTATGGATAGGAGACAGGTTGTTGAAAGATAACTGTTAAGGTAATTATCAAATTACCAAATCAAGTGCTTTTTTTTTTTAAGAATTGAATAATAAGCACAATGGGAGCTCATATTCTTGGCATCTTTCAGTCAATTGAATAATGGTAAAGATGCTCCTTTGTAGACTTTTGCTTGCAAAATGCTGTCTGTTCTCTACTAATTAATGTCCCTTAAAATTAAGGATACCCTGGATGCATGTGTGGACTATTCTCATTCAGAGATGGGAAAATAGACATATTGGTTGGTAGGTATTGATGTTCTCCAGGTTGCATTTTTTTAAAAGTACTAATAGGGTCTGAGACTTTTTTTCCCCATGGCTTTGGTATTTCTTCCTTCAGATGCTTTGTGAATGCCACCCCCCTTCCCCACATACAATTGTGTTGCCTCCAACAAATATCTCATCTGGGTACATCTGGTCCAGGCTAACTGCTATTTGGGTCTTTTTGCTATGGTAAAATATATTGGTTAAACTTCTACATGAAATGATTGTAATCATTATTTTCTTCTGTCCATTTTTTTTTTGGTCTTCAATAACTTGTTTGCATAGGTCAGTATTTCTTATATTTTTCTAATTTTTCTTCTTTTTTTTTTAGTTTGGCACTCATTTTGACTTTTGCTCATACAAGTTGGCAGTTGATGGTATCCAAACAGCTGATTCAGGAACGACTCCCACATTGGTGTCCAGTCTGTTAAAATATAATCATTTTGGGTAATATTACTTGATGCTCACCATGCCCAGCACCTTCTGATTCTTTTCTTGAAGAAAGAGTTTACAACGTACACAGGTGAAACATCTGTGTAGTCCACAAGTCCAATATGGCCCATCTCATTACTTATTCCTCATTCATATATTCCAACATATTTTTCACTGTCCTCACCCATTCCTACCTTTGCATTGAAGTGAATGAGCATTGTATACATTATGATCATTTAATTTGGAGGGGCCTATTGAGTTCTGGGTAATTTTTTCCACCTCTTCATCCTCTGTAGTGGATGTTGGTACATCAGTGGCAATTGTTTTCATGGTGGGCTTCTTGTAAATTCTTATCATGGGCACTTGCACACAAGATGACTGAGTGTCCCCTGGGTAGACAAAATAACATTGCTGGTGGCCTCTGCTCAAACCACATTCGCCAGCTTCTTTCTCTGCCTGTCTAAGGAGTACCTGTGAGCCGTCCTTTTTGTTTTCATTGCATTTACATCAAGAATGTCAAGATTGATATGATTCAGTCTTACTAATGTGTCAACTTGGTGATCACTAGACAAGAACCTCACGTTTACAGCACCAACACCTAAGTTTGAGTTTACGGATGTTTGAACAAACACGATTCTTAGCACTTGGACAAATAGCTCACGTTTACAGCACCAACAGCTAGGTGAAAATTTATGGGTTGTTGAAAACTTGGGTTTCTTAGTACTTGGACACAGAGTTCACGTTTACAGCACCAACACCTAAGTTAAAGTTTATGGATGGTTGAAAACGTGCAGATCTTCCTTGCATTCTCCATCTTTTTTTTTGTTTGTTTGTTTGTTTGTTTACCGCTCATTTGGACATCGTCTCTGTAGACTAAGAAGGGACTGCACAGGGCTGAGGGCCATTCTTCTTTGCTTCCAGGTTGCTGTGGCCAAAATTCCATCACCTGGTGGCCAGTCTGCTGGTGATGGGCCTCTCCGCACTTAGCTAGGCTAGTCCTCAGAACACAGACTTGGTCTGTTCCTGGGACCATACTTGAAGTCTTTCCAGCATGGTAGCACCTGCCAGAGCTTCTGCTCGGCTGGCATAGCCTTCAAGAACCCAGGGTCACCTCCACGCCACGATGAGGCACCGGAGTAGGACTTTGTGGAGGAAAGCTCAGTTCTATGAGTTTTTAGTGACACAACACAGTGGAAATTGGCACCACTGACCTTAGGATTGATGAACTTAAGAGTCACAGGACCCGAGTCCAAATCCTGGCTCTAACAGTCATGGCCCAGAAACTTGCCTAGAGCAAATCACCTGACACCTCTGTGCCCCAGTTGCTTCATCTCTAAAATGAGGGTATTGGACTAGATGGCCTCTAGGCCATCCATTCCAACTCTGAATCTATAATCCTAGGGGTGATGTTGCTTCAGGCTGTTTCCTTTTTTTCAGACTGCCATTTCAACTGATTCATGGGAAACGTGCAGACGACTAAAACCTTCAGATCTTCTGTTCTTCTTAGACCTGCCCCATCTTGTACTTGTGAAGGAATTCTTTTGAATGGAGATGTAACTCTGGTTTCATCTTAGACTTGGCCCAACTTTTGAGGCTGTTGAGATACTTCTGGATCCCCGATTTTGTCATCCGAGGTGTTAGCAGTGCTTCCACTTTTGGTTGGTTATATACTTTATGATGCTATAACTTTAAATTCAATTAAACTGTTGAACAGCCCAGGGCCAAGCACAGAGCCCTGGGACACTCCACTGAAGACCTTTCCTCAAGGTGGGCTTGACGCATTAATGACTACTATTCTTTGTGCCCAGACAGTCAACCAGTTTGGAACCTTCATAATGGTACTACTAACTAGTCTACATATTTCCCAACCTGTCTGCAAGAATCAGCTGGGGAAGCCACTTCACCTCTTTCTCAACCTCAGTTGTCTCATGTATAAAACACTAAACCTATGTTCTAGAGCAACAGTGTTCCATGGTATAGCAATACTGTCAACATAGGGAATGAAATTCATCTAGCTCTCAACACTCTACTTTCTTGATGAGGCCATGTGGGTTCTTTGTGGCTGCTGATTCCTTTTTGAGGCATTCACTCACTATCTCCTTTAGTCTTTGCTCCAGAATTACACCAGGAATTCAAGCCAACCTCTATGTCCTGGAGCTTGTAAACCCGACCCTCTCCTCTTCTGACAATGGGAATAGCAGTTGCCATTTATGTTCTGCAGCCCCTCTCCTACTCACCTTCGCTGGGCTGGAAAGGAATTCAGAGGCACCAAGTCCAACCCTCACAAGAATCCCTCCACAACATCCCTGCTTAGGGGCCATCAATCTCTTCTTAAAGACCTCAATGAGGGACAGCTCCCTCCTTCCCAAGGCGACCCCCAAACCACTTCTGGAGTGTTTTGTTTCTGCCTCTTGACAACTTTCCCAACTCCACCACTCCTGTTACTGCCCTCCCTTCAGATGTTTGAATGCCCAAGTTTTTCTTATCCAAGCTAACCCTTCTTCTCAGTTCCTTCCATTGACTGTCATGGCGTTTGCTCGATGTGAATGAATCAGATGTGGTATGACCTTGAGACCTCAGACCAACTTCATCAGGCTCCCTCAACCCAATCCCTGAGATGAGACTGAGCAGGGCAGACTCCTGAAGTTGTTTCTTGAACACAGGATAAGACGTTCCACCATCTTGCAGAGACCACAGGCAGGAGTAACTGCTCATCGACAACCTCTTCGGCCGGATGTTTCAGTACCCTCTGGGCTGGGGCACCTGACTCAGATCCTCTTTTTGTCTCCTAATTGGTTTCCCTGCCTCAAGCCTTTCCCTGCTCCAATTTATTCTCCCCCCAGCTGCCAAAGTGAATTTTCTGAAGAGTAGGTCTGCAGACACTACCCTCTTACTCAGTAAACCTGGCTCCCTATTGCCTCCAGAAGCTTTTCAAACTTGGCCTCTTCTGGCCTTTCTAGTCTTCTTACACAATGCTCCCTTCTGCACACTTGTGATCTAGCTGTTGCACATACAGGGTGGGCTATCTCCCACCTTTGTGTCTTTGTCTTGGCTCTTCCCCATGCCTGGAAAGCTCTGCATCATGCCCCCCCTTTTGGAGTCTCAGCTCAAGCATTCACTTCTCCATGAAGCCTTTCCTGGGCTCTTGGAGCTGCTAGAGCATTCCCTCCTTCTCTACGAGCTTGAATTTATTGGGTATGTATTTATGCATGTACATATTGGGTCCCGCACTGGAATGGAAACTCCCTGAGGGCACGGCCTGTTTCACTCTTTTCATTCTACAACCAGCACTGGGCACAGGGCCTGTCACTGACAGAAATGCTTACTGATTAGCCAAAACAGTTAAGTTGCTTTCTTATTACACCCCTTCTTATCTTGGGTTTCCCTTCCCTCTCAGGGATTTTGTACTTTGCCTAGGCAGAAGCAAGATAAAAGTTTGAATAATTCTGCCTTCCCTCTAGCCAAGGCTGGTGCCTTCCTCTTCTTTCCTCTTGGTGGCTGTCCCTAGTTCTGTCCTTGGCCTTAGCTCATTCTGAGACTTGGCCCCCTTGGTGTGTTTCTAACAAGGACAGATTAGGCATGGTTTGGTATTCTGTGCCTCTACCGAGGTCTCTCTCCTCTGGGTCAGAATCCTTCTCTTTGGGTCTTCAGGATACCATTCTTGAGCTTGTGGTCCCTCCTGGAAGTTTTGGGGGTCATGGGATCCTGGGAAGATTCCCAGCTTTCCCCTAAACTCTCTGAAGTCTACTGCTGATCTCAGCCACCTTGGTCCTCTCTCCCCCACAGTGCCCTAAGAAGCTTCAGCTGGGGGCCTTTTGGATAGGTCTAGTGGACACTTGTACAGCCACATCCATGTTTAGGGCAGAATTTTCCCACTCTCATCTCCTCTGTGGAATCTCACTGTGGCCAGAGACTGCTCTCATGCCCAACTTGTCCCCGGGCTGCTGGCGCCTTCGATTCTTGGTAGGCTAGGATTGTGATAATAATGTCCAATTCAGAGGGACAGTGTTTTTACGTCCTTGTCAAATCTTTAGAATATGAGATTGTCTTTCTTCACCTAATTCTCACCTTCCACTGTTCCACCAGGTGCAAGGAAGAAGGCACAAAAGGGCAATAAAGTTGGTGAAGTAGGGCGAGATCAGATTTTGATGTGACTCAGAGACTTAGGCAAATACAGGAAGTCTCGTCTGTCTGGTCGGGGGGGGGGCTCCCAAAACACCTGCGTGCATGGATGTGTATCCCCATTAGAATGTGAGCTTGGACCATGTGATTAATGCTTTCTGATGGGCGGGCTCCCCAGGGCTCTACTAACAGCAATTGCCTGGTTCTTTCCCAGTTATTAAGAGCCCTCCCGGCTGGGAGATTGGGATCTACATCACCGGGGCCCTCGCCTTGCTGGGGGTTGCTGCTGTGAACCTCTGGAAGCTTTGCAAATCGGGCAGCTTCCCCATTCCATCTCCATTCCCAAACTACGACTACCGGTACCTGCAGAAGAAGTACGGGGTAACCTATTCGGAAGCTAGGCAGAAGGTGAGGGCGGAGACTGCCTCCCTGAGGGTGGGGAGAAGCTTGGAGAGGCCCAGCCTCTGTGCCAAGGTCAGTCCCACATTCTGGGAGAAGGGGCACTCATGCTCTGGGTGGGACTCCACAAAGGTCTCCTTGCCCCTAAATATCTCTGCCCTAACCCTATCTGAGGTGACACCGTTAGCTCCTTTGAGTGAGGCAGCAGAAAGTACCTGCTTTGACCATGAAGACCTATGTGATTTGTGATCATTCAATGCTGAGAGCCCTGGGGAGCTCAGGCGGCAAGCTCAGAAGCCTCCTCCTTTGAGGATTGTCTCCCTGCCTCAGTTTCTCCCCACTCCACTCCCCACTCCCATTCAGCTACCAAAGTGTCCCTCCCGTGCTCAGGGAGCCCCGGCATTGCCCTTCGGCCTCCAGAATCAAACGGCAGCACCTCTTTTGGCCCCAATCCTTTCCGCCACAGCCGGGCCCTGTTCTTGCTGCCGGTCTTTCTTTTCTTTTTGTCTCCCGTTCTCGCCCTCTACGTACCCTGGGATCCTACATGCCCTATGTACGGCCTACCTGGAGCTCCCCCACAGGACCCTTCCATCTCCCGCCCCTGCACTTTTGCACAGGCTGTTCTGCACCCCTGGGATGCTCTGTGTCCTTGCCTTGCTTCTGGGCATTCCTAGCTACCTTTGAGATTCAGTTCAAATAGTGCCTTGTGTAGGAGGCTTTCCTGGCCCTTTCCCCACCACCAGCTGCTAGGACCCTCCCTCTAAGGCTGTCTTAGATGCACCCACTCAGTTACATGCTGCTCCCTGATTAGAATGTAAGCTCCTTGAGGGCAGGAGCTGCTTTTGGGCAGAGCTGGGGTTCCAAGCAGCGTTTGCTCATTTGTTGGATGACTTGATGACTGATTTGACCCCACTTCCGGAGGGCAGGCTTTGTCCCTCCCCCTCCCCCCCACCCCCTGGGTCTTGTCTCCTCCCAGGCCTAGCACAGGGCTGGGTGTATAGGAGGTACTTAATAAATGCTTGCCAGATCGAATTGGGCAATTGCTCCCCGGCTTTGGGCTCTGTTTCCTCCCCTCTTTTTCCCTCCATCTGATGGATTTCCTTTCCCTTTGGTCCTCAGAGAACTATGGCCTGGAGCAGCCACAAGCCCAGTGAGCGGGGGTCTCCCAGCCGCAAGAGCAGCCTGAAGATGGACGATGCTTTTGAGAGCATCAGTGAGCTGGGCCCCCTGGAGCTGATGAACCGGGAGATGGACCTCCCCCCCTACGGGCCCCTCAAGAAGTCCCTGTCTGCAGACTCGCTCAACTCCATCTCTTCTGTGAACAACAACTTCGGCCAGGACTTTGTGCTGGGCCAGGTGGAGGTGAGCATCCACTATGAGACGAGCAGACGCATGCTGCGTGTGGTGGTGCTCCAGGGCAAGGACCTGCTGGAGAAGGAGGACCCCGCCTTCGATTCCTGCTTCCTGCGCGTCAGCCTGGTGCCCGAGGAGCAGATTGTGGGCATCTCCCGGGTAAGTCCGTCTTCTTGGCACGAGGCGAGCAGCCTCTGGGCTCCTGGGGAGGCTGGCACGGGGCAGCAGCGAGAGTCCTGCGTTTGAGTCCTAGGCCCTACCCTTAGCAGTGACCCGGGCTAAATCTCTGCTCTGAGCCTGTGTCTTCATCAGTAAAATGGGGACAATCACAATACTTGTACAACCTACCTCATGTGGTCGATGGGTGCCCAGAGTGGATGGGCATGGATGGATTGCAATCTGCATCATTGGAGAGAACAAACACACTGGGACATGTCCACTGGAGGAGTGGCCCCTCACAGAGCTTGGATGAGGGTCCCGTGAAAGAGCTTCCTGCCCACCTGAAAGTGCCACAGAAACGTCAGCTCCAGTCAGGATGGCCTGGGGCAAAGAGGGTCAGGGCCGGGAGGGCCCTTAGAACAGAGAATGTCAGGGCTGGGAGGGCCCTGAGGACATAGAAAGTCACCTTA